ACATTTCCATGATACCGCGCCCGCCCAAGTCGCCGAGCCGTCGGCTCGCACTGAAGTGCCTGCTGGGATGTGCCGAACGGTCAGCGCTACCGCGTTCGCGTCGGTCGCGCTGAACTAGCTGGCCGCTGCGCGCGCGAACATGCGCAGGCTAGCGCGACCGCAGAGATGCACCAGCCAACACCAAGCACGCATCGCAATCGCTCACGCATGGGTTTTGCAAACCGAGTTGCGGGTGGGTGGGTGGGATGTTTGCGCGAGCAATGGAGTTGTCAACTTCAAACTCGGCAAATGAATTCTCCTTAAAAGAGAATAGACTCTATCCCACCTCGGACGAATCGGCCCTCCCTGGGATAATATGATTTCATATCTATTCTGCACACTCGTCCATCCTAAACATGAAATCGTACCATCCCAGGCAGGCCGGGTTCCCCCCCCTGAGGTTCCCTTGTAAAAAAACATTATGCGGTGACATTTTATGTTCTGACATAACACTTTTTCGCGAATCCCTTGCAACAAGTGGGACGAAGTGCGCACGCGCGCGTCGTCGCGCGCGCATGCCGAAATCCTTCAAAAGCCTTCGGTGCCGGAAAGATTTCGCAATCGAGTTTCCAAAAAACGTGCAAAAACACCGGGTTTCGCAACACTGATTTGCTAAGAAAGCTTCCGTGCGAGCTCTTGCGAAATCTTAAGAAAACCATGAGTTTTTCAAGATTTTCACAAAATGCTATCAAACGGGCTTCGCGCGCGCGCACGTCGAAATCTGTCGAACGCCCTTGCGCGTGTGCCGTCGCGAGAATCCTCGGCACAAAACGGGACGAAGTGCAGACGCGCGCGTCGTCGCGGGCGTATGCCGAAAACATTCAAAACCCATCGGTTTCGGAAGGATTTCAAAATCGTGCGTCCAAGAAAACATACAACAACCCAAGGTTTCGCAACACGGATTTTCAATAAAAGCGTGCGCGCGCGCTCTTGCGTCGTCGTCGTCGTCGTCGTCGCCGTCCTCCCTCGTCGTCGTCGTCGTCGTCGTCGTCGTCGTCGTCACCGTCGTCGTCTTCTGTCTTTCCTCGTCGTCGTCGTCGTCGTCTTGGCGTCGTCGTCGCTTCCGTCGTTGTTGTCGCCGTGGTCGTCCTTCCTCCCTCGTCGTCTTCGTCGGCGTCTCGTCGTTGTCCCTCCTATTTCGTCGCCGTCGTCGTCGTCGTCGTCGTGGTCTTTACTCCTCCCTCGTCGTTATCCTCCTCCCTCGACGTCGTCGTCGTCCGTCGTCGGCGTCTCGTCGTCGTCCCTCCTATTTCGTCGCCGTCGTCGTCGTCTTCGTCGTCGTTGTCGTCGTCATCGTCTTCCCTCCTCCCTCGTCGTTGTCGTCGTCGACGTCGCCGTCCTTCCTCCTTCTTCGTCGTTCGCGTCGTCGCCGTCTTCCCTCCTCCATCGTCGTTGTCGTCGTTGTCGCCGTCGTTGTTTTTTCTCCTCGTCGTCACGTCGTCGTCTCCGTTGGCGACGTCGTCGTCGTCTTCGTCGTCGTCGTCGGCGTCGGCGTCGTCGTCGTCTTCGTCGACGTCGGCGGTGTCGTCGTAGTCGGTGTCTGCGGCGCCGTCGTCTTCGTTGTCGCTGTCGCTGTCGTCGTCGGTGTCGTGGCCAAGTGCCATGTGGTACCTACCGTCACGGTCTTGTCTTAAGAAGTCTTGCGGCCAAGTTGCGGGTGGGAGGGTGGGATGTTTGCACGAGCAGTAGAGAGGACAGCTTCAAGACGGTCAAAGTGCATTGCACAACGTAGATTGTACCACATTGACTGCACAACGTTTGCTGCAACGCATCGATTGTACAACACTGGTTGGATATCACAATCTGTGCATCATATATACCATGTATGTTGCACAACACATGTTTGGCAGCGGCGCTTGCCCAACCTACATTCAACAACACAGACTGCACCACATCTATAGCATAGATTGCACCGCGCAGGTTGCACCACGTACATTGCACCACATAGAACACACAACGTAGATTGCATGATATATATATATATATGCTCTGAACACTCTCGCTTGCCAACGCAGATGGATTTTCCAGAGAGGTAGCAGGCTGCCAAGGGTGGACGACACTGGTGCTTGCTGCGAACGGAACTTATAACAGAGCGCGCTCGCTCCCCAGCTTTGACGACACATATAATGAAACAAAGGAAAGCAGGAGGAGGGGAGGGTGGTGGTGCACTTGAGCCCGATGTCCATGGATGCACATCGGTTTATCGAGGCGGCCGCGCTACAACCTAGAGCACTAACGTTCGAAAAACTGAACCCTGCTCTGAACACTTTCGCTTGCCAACGCAGATGGATTTTCCAGAGAGGTAGCAGGCTGCCAAGGGTGGACGACACTGGTGCTTGCTGCGAACGGAACTTATAACAGAGCGCGCTCGCTCCCATCTTCCCGAATCAATTCTGGCCAAGCCGCATGAGCTTGCTCACAAAGTCAAAGACGCGAGATGAATGAGCTGGATTCGGTCGGCAGCCTGCACAAGCAACGAAGCGGCACCCAGGGCGAAGGAGTCAGGGTACTCTTCTGCCCGGGCTGTAAGGTTCTTGGGGTCCCCGGGTCCGCGGCCCTGGAGGGCCACGCGAGGCCGGGGCGTGCGACTGCGCATCCCTTGGACCCCAGAACACCGTTTGCAAAGTGCTTTAGGCGGAGCCCCTACATTCCACCCCGCGACTTTAGTGGGCTTCTTCCAGGCACGATTATGTTGGCACATGTGTGTCACAAACTCTTTACAACTGTCTAGGCGCGTGAGGTCTAGAAGGGCGGGACACTGCCAGAGGAGACTAGACTGGGGGTTCTCCATTGCCACTGGGATCCCTGCCTTCAAGCACGCCCGAATCACACATACTGAAAAGAGAGCTGTTGCATTGCCGAACTGTACTTTGACTGCGTTTTTGTCAGAGAGGTCGGGCCGACCATATATATGCTGAGGCGTGCGGTATGTGTTTCGGCTGGCAACGCTCCACGTCGAACACGGGGGGGCGAGCCGCGCGGCCCGCGCGACACGACTCCCGATCCAACCTCGAATTACTTTAAGAGCTGCGTCGGATGACAGATCAAAAGCAGGGTCAGCCTTGACATCGAGACGGAGGGCCGGCAGTCCGCTCAACCTCTCCAGCCATTTTCCGACACGGCCTGTCCCCGCAAAAAGATCCAGAAAAGTCTGTGCCCTCCGAGGCTGGCGGCCTAGCGCCTGGTCTAACGCGGCCCTGAGCCTGCGTCTGACCGACGCGGCCGACAGCTGGAGGGCAGAGGCAAGAGTGTCTCCTGAGCGCCAGAGCTGGCCGGCGGCCAACGCCGCGGCCTTTTTGCCCCTGGAGGCGCGGCCACGGCCTTGCGCTTGCTGATCAGCGCCTCGAAGTTGGCATCCACGTAGTCTCCGTACTGCTTCGTGTCGGCCGCCAGCTGGTCTAACTCGCGGAGATACCTCGTGTGCTTTTTGTACCGTCGTGTTGACGACTCCTGAGCATGCCTCAGCCTCTCCTGGATGGTCTTCATGTCTCGATTCTGGTGGAGAGCGTCGGCGCTGGCGGCTCCGTGGCGCACCTGGTAGGGGTTCAAGTCCGGGAGGCCAGCCAACTGCGCCACCTTGCGGAACAGCACTCGGAATTGCGCGGCTGAGAAGGACCAACAAGGCTGACTCGGGCCCCGGCCGGCGTACCCAGCGCTTGCTGCAGAGCGGCCCCATCGCCGTCACCCCCCGTCGCTGTCCAAGCAGGCAAGAAATATAAAAAGAGAGAAATAAAAAAAAGGAAAAAAAAAGAAGTGCCCTCGTCCTCCACTGTCCGGTCTTCTCCTGGTCTGCTCTCTCCTCGGGTACAGGAATCAGCGCCTTGTGAAGACACCGCCGTGGACCGCTGGTGCGGGATTGAGCGAAGAGCCGGCCATGGAGATCAAGTCGCTGGGGAGCCCGACTGTAGGTTTGCGCACCACTGCCACCTCCAGGGCCCATCGCCAGCTCTGCAATTCACCCAAATACCGCGCAGCGCCCACCTAGCCCCCAGCCCTGGCCGCGGCAGGGGCCGCCGCGACCTGGCCGGGGGGGCCCGCTTGCGGAAGCCTCTCAAGGCTGCGCGGGCCCTGGGCAGCGCCTCCACGGACTGGTACAGCCCGTGCACGTCGTAGTACTTGACGGCTACTATCAGCTTTTCTCCTTGATCGTGATTGTAGCCCTCGAAGAAGAGCGAGTCCATGTGGGCGGACAGGGCCTGGTCCATCTCCTCTGGCGTCTCCAACTTGAGGTCCTGCTCCTCGGCCCACCTCTCGAACTCGCTCAGGATGACCCGGTAGTAGGCCACCGTCTGCGGCTGTGCCCGCGATGCCTGCATGTAACCCAGGCCCGCGGCCGCCGCCTCCTGAGCTGCCTCTCTCTGCGTCTGCCTCAGCGTCGCTCGTCGGCTCCTCCTCGCCTGAGCTGCTTGAAAAGCTGCTCCACGCCGCCACGGCAGCTCCACTTGGTGGCGACTCGGCTGGCTCGACCCGCCGACCGAAGGCCGCAGCAGGCTCGTCCAGCCAGGTGTCCCCGAGGCCGCAGAGGCCGGCCGCCTCTGCCCCGCCTGGCTGGCGGAGGAGGTGGTTGTCGATCTCCCCCTCGAGCGCCAGGTCGAGGCGGGCGGCGGCCGCGTGAGCATCAAGGTACCATGCCGATCGTGGATCTGACCGTGGGTCCCGCGGCTCGGGCCGAGATGGCCAAGCTCTCGACGGTCGGTCTGCTGGGTTAATCTCTGACGCTATCCATCTGAAACAACAGTGAACGTTGGCAAACAAACTGAGTGCACGAACCTCTTGGCACGTACGATTGACTGTTGAAGTAGATCCCCGGCCCTTGCTGAGGGCCAACACCATGGACATGTTATCACAAAGGAACAAGTGACGAGCTCCCTGGGATGCCCGGGAACGTAGACGATGCCGAAGCCCCAGTACAACCCCTCGCCCCTCAGTACGCAGGATGTTCTCATGACGAAGCCAACGACCTTTTGCGCACAGGCGCCAGCTGCTGTCGTCGCCCATCTGGCTGGGCGTGATATGGTCGAAAGTGACTCCTGCCTGGCGAGACATTGGACGCTTTGGTCCCTGCTCCTGCGGCAGGCCGAGCGTCTGGGCGCGAGCAGCGATGGTATCTGAGACACACCACCGCCACTTCTCGGCCTGGCCCGCCGCGGCCCTCACGCTCTCCAGGTCCCAGTCGGTCTCCATCACGCCGTACCCGCCGAAGTCGTGGCGGCTGGCCCCCGAGGCGTCGGACGCGGTCACGACCGCGCTGTAGGGCCGCTTGGCGTCCACGAACGCGAAGCAGACCAAGGCCGCGGCCCGCCGCAGCTCGGCCTCCACGCAGGGCCAGAGCCTCCACCTCCTGGAGCCTGCCAGGGCGATGTACCTGTAGGTCTGCGCGAACACACTCAGCAGTTCACGCCGCAGGATCGCTGGCCAAGGAGATGCCGAAGCTCGTCTCCCGAGGCCCACCCGCGGGAGGCCGTGTGCAGGAGAGCCAACCTCAACTTCCACGTCCGTGACCGAGAAAGCCGTATCTTGCCAGAGGCGACCTCGAAGCTCAGGCCTGCGAAGGTGGTGTCCGAGCCAGCCGCCTCCACGCCCTTGCACTTCAGGCCCAGCGCCTCCAGCTTCGCGGCGACCCGCTCGCAGTCGGAGGTCACCAGGTCAGCCCCCAGCCCCACCACAGCGACTCCGTCCACGTAGACGGCCACACGGTTGCGGTCCGTCACTGACGGGGCTGCACGGCGGTCCTGGATGAAATCGGAGAGGGCGAAGCCAGCAGCCTGAACACCAGCCATCACCATGCATTGGCAAAAGTAGAGACTCCACGTCCACCCCATGGGAAGCACCTCTAGGCAAGGTGACGCCCACGTCTCGATCCCTGGCGGCAGCTGATCTGAGAGGTCAGGCCTCAGCTTCAGCAGGGTGGGAAGGTGGACAGCTCTCAAAACGAACATCTCCTGCGCCCCCCGCGGCAAGCCGATCCTGTAGAACGCGTTGTCCACGTCGGCCTGGGCGAGGTGCAGCTCCTGGTCCATGGGGACCTCCAACGCCGACCAAGCCCCCGCCGTCGGGAGCACTGTGTGCGCTGGAGCTTCAAACAAGTCATTGACACGCCGAGGGTCAATAATTAAACGCTGCATACCATTCGATTTGTGCACAAAGAACGCGCCCACGGTCTCCCCCCGCTGCTGCTTCAGGGAGACCACGCCGGCGTCCAACAGGTCACCGACAAACTGGGCGTAGGTAGATCGGGAACGGAACTTGCCGTCGTAGTGGGGCTTGGGCGCCTGGCTGCCGCCCTCGGGCTGTCGCTTCAACAGCTGCCTCCATCCTACCTATTGCTGCAAAGCTTCTCCCTCCAGGATGCGGCTCCCATCGACGAGGGCGCCCCCCTTCGGCAGAGAGACCAGGGACCGGTCGTAGGACGCGATGTGCTCCGGCTCGAAGACGTAGCCGTGCCCAGGTCCGCACAGCTCTCGATGGGCTGCCGCGGCGGTGCAAGCTGGCGGTGGCCCGGCGTCCTCCACCACGCGCCTGACGTGCTCCAACCCGCACTCCTGCGCGAGCGAAGACTTGCCATTGGCAGCGACCCGTGGCCGTACAGCTCATTAATTGAAACCAGAACTTCCTGCATCCAGGCGTGGAGGTGCTCCTTCTTGCGGAGTCGGCCCCTCGCAGCTCGGCTGCAGGCGCCCACAGGGGGCGCGGGCGGCGGGCCCGCAGGGATAGCCACTGGAAGCAGCTCCCGCGGGACCGCCATGGGAGCGCCGTAGGCTACTTGGCCCCCCGGCCGCCACCGCGGCCGCGTCCTCCGCCGGCGCCTCCGTCGCCAGCAGGTGCAGTCTCACCGACCTTGTCCATCAGCCTGCGGATCTCGGCGGCCTGGGCGTTCACCTTCTGCTGCAGCCCCTGGGCCGCTGCGGATGAGCTCCCACCCGCACCCCCTCCGCCGGGGGCACGGCTTGCCTGCCTCTCCTCCTTCAACTTCCTGCGCTCCTTCATCACGGCGGCCTCCTTGTGGAGCTGCTCGGTGATGTGGTCCGAGAGGTCCGGGCTCACCATCACCAGGCCGCGCGTGAGGCCGGCCCCCATGTACAGGAACTCATCCTCCGCGAACTCGTCCCCGCCGTGCTTCCCCAGGATCTTGTCACGATACCGCATCTCCGCGAGCTGCGCCCTCCTCAAGAGCAGCTCGAAACTCGCTAGCTCGGTGATGTTGAGCTGGTCGTACACCACGGCGAGCTCTATCATTCTCATCGCCAGCTCGTGGTCCTGACAACCGATGTCCTGACCACCAACCCCCGCTTCATGTCTCCATTTCGTGTGCCGCGCGCGGGGGTGGGTGTCTTGCTCAGCAATGAACTCGAGACACCACCGGGCGGTCCTGGGGCCAAGGATTGGCCACGCCGCCCAGCTTGTCTCAGTCATCTCTCTCACACTATCTTTGAATGGGCGCCATCTCTCTCCACTCGGGCTCTGGACGATGCTGAGCACGCGGGCATCCGAGTCCAGGTCGTCCTCGACGCCTGAGCTCCTCCGCAGCAGCAGCACCTCTGAGCCCTTCACGGCGAGGGCGCCGACGTCGCAGACAGCGGACTCATCAACGTTCAGGCTACCCAGCAGCGTCTTGCGGGGGGTGCCGCCCGTGCTCCAGACGACCTGCCAGCCGTCGGGCGTCGGGGACGGCAGCGTCCGCGATCCGACCTCAATCAGATTCGCCACCGCTCCACCCCCAGCTGCCACTACTGCCAGCCGCGGCTCCAGCCACTGGTCGCCGATGCACAGCTTGATCATCTTGGCGAACTCCAGCGGCGTGGCGCTCCAGTCCGTGCCATACACGCGCGTGCGGTTGGTGAACCGGGTGCCGAGGAGCGTCGCCCGATCTGGTCGGCCCTCGTCGTCGCACAGGATCAACCCGCTGAGCGGGCCCACGTCCAGGCAGTGAGGGTAGGCGTCGCCGTCTGGGGTCCCGCACCACCATATCTTCCCTGCTGTTATCTGATCGGGAGTCGCTTGAACTTCCATGATAGCCTGCAGCTCGGCGGCGGTGGCGGGAGCGATGGCGACGCGGGCCTGCCAGCCCTGCCCATCCCCCCACTGCACGAGCAGCCTCCTGCCGGCTTCCACAGCCATGGGGACACCCACAGCACAATGCACTCGCCAGGAGGAAGCCGAGGATGAACGAGGTGCTCGCCAGGCCCCGCGTCCCGCCGAAGAGATCCAGCACAGCTACGCACTCGCCCGTGCTCGCAACCACGGGCGCCAACACACTTCTGATCGTCTGAGAGGCTGTCCAGCCTCGGGAGAGAATGTTCCAAGAATTGGAAAGAAGGGCAAGCTGCATGCGGACTGGCCGCAAATTAATGCACTTGAGCCCGATGTCCATGGATGCACATCGGTTTATCGAGGCGGCTGCG